TAGGAAGCTGCTCAGCTCTAATCGATGATTCTTCTTTGGGAATGTTAGAAACTATGGGAGGTCGGACAAAGGTTGGCAACATCTAAGGAAAGGGTGATGGTAGCTTAGGCTGAGGTACTCAAACAATCAAAGTTATTCTCGGTCGCCCAAGGAGACAAACAAGTCGTGAAGGAGAAGACGTCAACTATGAAGAAGTATGATGAATTTTTTGTCGAGCTCTCTCTCACCCAACTCAGGTGGCACTCATCATCGGGAAGTTTAAGGATGGGGTTTCTTTTGACATCGGCCGCATGCCGAAGGGATAGTTGGTCAAATCAGAGTGGATCGACATATAAACGTTCTCCACTCTGTTGTCAGATTCAAACGAAGAAGAGAGCGATGAGGACGATGGTCGGTCGTCGAACCTGACCTGTACTCGACCTTTTCCTGTACTTAGAAAAAAATTCTTTTCTTTCTTTTGAACACTATGTCAAAAAATGTTAGAAATTTTTGTAGATTTATAACCATGAATGAAAGTAATGTTCTCAGTTTACTGTGTCTTTTATTTTTCTTGTGATACATGCTCAGCTGTGATCATTGATGGGTCGACAATCTTAAGAATTTATTCGGTCGATCAACTGAGTTACAATCTATCTCAAGTCTTACACTTTTGCATATCTCGATCTTTCGATTACGTTGTTGCCTTAAATGAGTCGCACCTTAAGCTAGATTTATTGAGTGGATATTTTAACGATCTTCTGTGAGGCAAATGTCAAGACTTAATGCTAGAGTGATTTTTACGCTACCCATTGAATATGCTGTCACTAGGAATCTTCGCCACAACTTTGACCCATTTAGAGCTAGAAACATATGTAGGTATGATGCATGAGCCTTGTGTGTCAGATCTTGCATGATTTTCCAATCAAATATTTATTCATCTTTGTCAGATATTTATAAGATTTTACCACTTGAAAGTTTATTCGTTGTTATCGATTTTTCCGCTCGAGTAGAACCACTACAGATGGACCAATTCGAGCTCCCCAAGTCTCGGTCAGATTTTGACGATCCCAGCATGAACTTCTATAGTTTCTCAAGTGTCAGCCAACATGAGATCACACATTTAGTTAGAAACATTTATCATAAATTTAAACAAGTAAAAATAAATTAAAGTGATATGATTGTCCGTTGTAGAATCATGATTCGTCCTAATGGCTCAACTTCAAAAATTTGCAGGGAGGATGGGCTTTTTAGCGGACATGACTCTTTGTTAAGCACGATATAGCGGGACCTTGAATCATTCTAAAGGCTCGAACATGGAGATTTGTTGAGGGAACATGTCCTTGAACTGATGGGGTGCCTCAGTGCGATCAATCAGATGACGATCTATTGGTGTGGACCCAAATCTATCAAAGTACTGCGAGTCACTCCTCTTTCAGGGGGGTGGGTGCGAGCTCGAGGGTGCCGCTCTTTTTCTCGAGTCAGCTCGCCTTGGATGTCATCCAATATTTGATTATTTAACTTCTAGATCTATTGAGTTACAAACTCTCGTGTGCACTCCACGTTGCCGGAATTTCTATTGTGGGTTTCTTCTTCTTGAGCTACTCTTCTTATTTGTGTCATAATCCACGCTCACAACACATTTTAAAGTATTGAATCCTGATTTGTCTGTGACTCACACCAAATGAATGGAGCATAAGAAAAGAGAGAGAGAGAGAGAGAGAGAGAGAGAGAGAGAGAGAGAGAGAGAGAGAGAGAGAGAGGAGAGAACAAAAACGAATAATAATATGTTTCAAAAAATGAACTTCATATTTTTAGGGAGGGGTACAATATAATTATGTTACATTTTTTTCACTGCTTTAAAGAGGGTTGTACCAAGTATTTCTGACATTTTACATGCATGAGCTTATTGTTCAACATCTCTCTGGCTCAACCGACTAAGCTCAATAGGCTTTGAGTCTGCAAATAGCTCAACCGACTGGGATCCACTTAGTCGGCTGAGATTTGCTCGATCGACTGATCTTCATCAAAACAAGTTTGTAGGTTGATGTGGCTTGGCAATAGATACTCGACCCTCGAGATCCACTTGGTCAATTAAGATATGCTCAATTGGCTGCTCTTAGTCAATACGGGTCTGCCGGTTGATGTTGCCTGACTACGATCATACCTCTGAGCAGGAGCCTCTAAGCTTTATTGGAATGATTGGTAATGTTAGAGAACTAGATCTGTTAGAGAACCATCCACTTGGGTGATAGTTGATTCGGATGTCATTTTGTCTCGTTTCTAATTGAATGACTCATTCTCGTATTCTCATGTAATCTTTGCTCTATCTCGTGGTTCGGCCAGCTTTGGCATTACTGGCTTTGACTCAGACAACTTCACTCGGTCAGACAAATGGGCCTCATAATCTTGTGTCGGGGGGCGCTCCATGATACTCTTTCACATCCCCTAAGGATCAACACTCACAAATTTTTTATGTACAAATATTTTTTTTGGTTTTCTTCCCCACAATATCATAATCTAAAACACTACAACATGAATAATTGTGATTAGTTGTGAGTTAACGGGGATTAGAGTTGAGCCGGATCGACAAATTTTCTTTCAAGATGAAAACATGTGCCTTGGATGAGGTGGTTGTAAAAAAATACTTAGTTAGCAGTATGTACGTGTCTGCATAAGAAATTTTTAAATAGTTTAGTGTTGTCCTTTGCATTTGAATACGATAAATCTACTAAAATATAGTGATGCTCTATATATTAATGCTTGATTTATGTTCTTCACTTGTCCAACTTATTTTGCCCAATATTTTATTGCATTTACATATCATTTTAAAGGCATTGTACTGGAAACAATTTGATCAGAAAACAATTCATGCTTACTGATTTTGAGTAATCAATAGCTTTTGCTTGTGCGAGACTTATCCTCAAACACCTATGCTTATCAAACCTTAAATCCGTTAGTCTATGGCTATGCCACTGCCAATATTGCGAGTCAAACCTCACCCTCACACAATGCCACCTAATTCCTATGTATTTACATATTAACACCTAAACTTTGATTTTTTGCATTCATACTACCCAAATCTTTTATATCACATACAAAACATCATTGTTTTAATTTTTGAAAAGTGAAATACACATTTTCATGCATGGGTAAGGTTGCATGGCCGAAGGCTATTATACGAGCCTCAACCATCCCTCATGAACCTCAGAATTCGAGTACAACACCCTACACTCAGGGGGAATCAAACCCCAAACCAGAGGGGACTTACAACTGACAGCAGATGTCTGACCAATTGATATAAGTACGTGGCGCTATATATATATATATATATATATATATATGTATGTATAAAAATTGAAGTTTAGGTGCGATACATGTAATTGCATAGGAATTCAGTGATATGTATGCAAATCATCCTACAAAAATCATATTTTTTCCCAGATTTAGCACATACTCGAAAAATAGTCACACCGAATTGTACTCACCTTCACACAATGCCAGAACCTACAGCCCATGCGCATGGCTCGACGTCGCATGTATACAAAGCTACCATTTCGTGGCTAGGATGGAAAAAAAATCTCAAAATTAAAACTCATGCCACTAGAAGAAGCTGAGCTAAAACTTCACTAATTTTTGCAATTTATCTCTATTAGTCATCAAAATAACATCATCAAATATATATTAATTTCTCTGTGGTTGTCATTTGTTTATTGTTCTATTTTCTTTGAGGCAAAACCATTCTTTTTGGGAAATTTACATACCTGACACAAAATTCTTATGTTTTTACATATCTAACACCCAAAGTTTAATCTTACACAACTCTGATGTTGTAAAGCTATGCAGAAAAAGTATATTTCACTTTTAAAAGGATAGCGATGGTGATATTTTTGATGTGATGTTAAAGATTTGAGTGGTATGCATATTAATATAAATGTTCAGGTTTAGATATCAAAATACATAAGAATTGTGTGGGATTTATGTGCATGCGCCTTCTTTTTTTATGTTCAATTTCTTTTTGGATAGGGGAGGATCATCTCCTTAACTTTTGATACTGGACTTAAACCAAAACGACAATGAAAGAAGACTTTATTACAAAGATCAATTAGGGGTTACAACAGATACTAACAGAAAGCAGGAAATAATGAAAAATAAAACGCGAGACAAACACCGAACGAGGACTGGAATTGGGTTTAGAGGAGCGCTGACAGTGGCTGCGGTTGGGCGAAAGTAGGGGTGTGGTTGGAGGGCAGAAGGGAGGGCAGAATGGATGCAGTTTGGAGTGCCGAAGCAAACAGGTAGACTGAGGTTTGGAGGACATCAAGGACAAAAGCGGCGGGGCGGTGGTAGGCTGTGGAAAGGGCAAAGATGTGGGACTGCGGCTGGAAGGTAGCAAGGAGGGGTGGGGGAAGGGGTAGGGGACTGGGGCTGGAAGGCAGCAATGGGAAAAGGGGGCTGCGATTGGACTGCAGCAAGGGAAAGGAAGGCTGGCCATGGGAGGGGGGTAGGTTTTGGGAGAAGCAAGGAGCGAAGAATACTCACCACCTTAGGTCGAGTTCCAGCCAGAAGGCCTCTCTTACAGCACTAGAAAGGAAAAACATCGTCGACCGAAAGCTAAGACAGAAATCTGAAAACAAGTATAAGCAACATATAAATAGGCTACGTAAAATATGAGGGGTAGGAGGCCGACCAACCCTCCTATTCCCACCTGAACTGGTTTAGTTGGTTCAGGTAGACAGCCCACGTCACTTACTACTGCCATGATTAAAACGAGGCTGGACTCGCAATAAACTTTTAACTAGTTTAACATCTTACCAAGCTTATCAATTACTTCTTTTAAGAAAAGTGGATTCTTAACATACATACAACATAGCGTCATAGAAGTGCTTGTTAGGACTAGCAAAAGTGCACAATATTAATAGTTTCTAATCATTACTATCAATATCACATCAAAACTTCTAAGATATTGAATGCTAGGATTAAATTCATTCACAAATGATTTGATAAATGTACCACCTTGCATGTGAAGCAAATATAATCTATGCTTTAGAAATAATTTATTGAAGTGATCGTTGCATTTTACAAAAATTCTCGAGAAAAACCACCCTCCAAAATCTTATCTATCAAATATACAAGATTGAATGGCCCGAAAAAGTCAAAACTAAAGTCCAGATGTAGTCGATGGCCAGGCAAAGTCAAATAATTACAACAAATCGGGTAAAACCTACAAGTAGATAAGAAGGAGAGATCCGCATTCAACAATTATACATTTCTAGATGCAAACTCCGCGGTAACATGATTTATCAATCCAAAATGAAAATATTAAAAAAAAAAGGCAATAAACAAATACGAAAGAGTGATATGTTCACTAATTTCACCATGAGATTAAAGCAAAAAATCAGACACTAACCTCCCTTTTTCTAGCTGAGATGAGCTATGTCAATGTCCTCTGGAACTTTGAATGTGTCAGCAGCCCCAAACTTCCTCCTTGCCTCCATCGACTCATCATCAGAATCCTCCGTGCTCTCTGCATCATCACCGCTTGCAGATGGTGGCATCCAAGGATCATAGATGCTTTTAGATATGCAGCTCGGGGTGGCGAGCATGTTTACTTGGCCGAGATGTGAAATTTCCACCACCACTGTGTCGTCGTTCTCTGGCAGAGGCTGCTTCCAGGGCTCGCCATCTATCCTCATGTATGTGTGATCTGCCGCACCTTTATGAAATTCGAACCGGATCCGATGAGCCTGAATTAATGTAGAAACAGAGTTTGACAACATTTTGTGCATCATAATATCAAATTATGGGTGCAAATCAGATTCACGGGTCGTGTTCTGGTCTATCACAAAATTGCTTGACCCAAATCCAACTTGAATATTAAACGGATCAGAAAGTTCAACCCGACTCGCCTTCAACCCACTGACCCAAACCCGACCCGTATAACCCGTTTACCATAAGACATAACAACGATTTAGGTCAAAATTAAGTCAAATTTGGGTTAGCAGGTCAATTTTGAGTAAATTTCAGGCTTGTGATTCAACCCGAACCCAACCCAAAAAATTAAAGGGTTAGAATTCTTAACCCAAACCCGACTCGAAAAATATTCAAGTCAGCTCAAATCAGGAATTTTTGACTTGTGTTCGGGTCGAATTGACATGTCAGATCAATTACTGACACCCCTAGATCAAAAAATGGGTCGACAGGCTCACCTGGGCAAGGCGAGTACCGTGGCCATGAGGAGCAAGCAGGACAAGCCCGTGCCAGGCATCTCGAAAGCCAACCACTTCAAGGATGCCATCATCAACATATGGCGGTGTAAGATCTCTCTAGACAAAGGTGGAGGATTATGCATGGATAAATTGAGCAAGAGGCAAGCTGCATTTTCTTTGAGCGGAACCGTAAACAAGAGAGATGAAAAGAAGCTTACATTTCGTGCTTTGCTATGATTAGGAGTTCCCCAAGGGTTTAGACCACCAGAGAAGCTGGGAAGATTCAGGCAAACAATAGACCGAATGCTGTGTGATGCGAAAGTTATTTTTAGTAGGATATATATCAAGAGAAGAACAAGTGAGGTAGAAATGCCAAAATACAGAAAAGTTAGTTTTAGGAGGAACGAACAGAATGTGCCAACCCCAGTTGGTTTTGAAGCAAGAGCTTTGAAATGAATTGAAATCCAGTCCTAGAACTAAAATTTAATTATTAGAAATTGCATAAAAATTGTGGGAACAGCTAAAAGTTGCCCGTGTTAGACCAGTTGTCAACGCTTTTTCAATGCAAATGATTAAGTGTGAGGGTCAATCATATTTTATAATAATAAAAGTTTCACCTTTACTGTGGGACTAAACGCAAAATTCAAATATCTCACAATTTCACCAATACCATCACATCAAGAATTCTAATACAAGGAAAACAATTTTCATAAAAAGATTATGTAATACAGCAAGAAATCTCCTTATTACAATGCTAACACATGTTTCTGAAAAGAATTACTGAACCCATGTATTTACGTGTGCTAGACAAAACCATGGAGAATTTAATAAGAATGAAAACATGGATTATGGAGTTTTGTTGTAATGTTCAAGATTTGGGTAATTGATGTGGAGTCTGTGTGGGAGAGATTGGATCATTTACTCTTGAATCTTTAACAATAATGGAAGCAACCAAGAATCATTGGACCCAAAAACTACATGAAACACTCGTCTCAACCAAAGTATATCTTTGATAACACTCATAGGGGAATATGGATCGAAAGGAGAACAAGGTTGGGCCGCATACAACAATTGTCGAGTTCACAAAACCCAATAAACTTAAGATCACAATGATAAAAAGAATAATCATTATGTTAATAATAATATTAATAACATAATAATAAATATAATGATAATAATAATAATAATAATAACCATAAACCAAAAAAAAATTATGAGTATGGTTATAACTATATCTTTTACTAAAAATAATAATAAATAAAATAAAGTTAATGAAAAGATAAAAAAAAAATTTACAGCATACCAAGCAAATGCAAAAAAAAGATGAGAGTTCAAAGCATGTGTAGCAATTTCGTCTTCAAAAAAATGTATCATGCATGGAAGAAATACCAGTGGAAGCAGGAATAAATTAATGAGTACAACTAGTGTAAGATACATTTACAAATAAAGCCAAACATGCAGTATGCAGGGCACCTGCGAGGAATGTGAAGCTCTTCCCAGTGGCCATGCCTCCTCAAAATTTTGACCTTAGCAAGTTGAGCAATGTTCCTGCATTAAAATTCATATATATACATATTCATAAAAGGCAAACTTTTCGATCTCAACAGAACAACTGACCGAACATACCGAGCCAACCCTAAAAAGTAGTGAAGTCTAATACATCAATCAGCAAATCTCCTTGTTAGCTGACAAGCATTTCTAGTCATGCTACTGAAAGGAAAAAAATTCACTTGACTGTAACAAAGCATATGTGTATGGGGCACCCACCAATCAATGGCAAATTCTACAACTTGATCTTCTTTTTATTATTTTTTTTATTTTGAATAGCAACAAGAACTTAATGAAGGTTAAGAAGACAAAATAGGGCTAAATGTCAAAAAAGTAAAGTTGGGCAGAAGAAATATGAAGAGATGAAAATGTTAAAAGTTGCAACTCCCTTCTCTTCCTCCAATCCTCGCTAAGAGCTCCTTATAAGAGTAGCAAGGAAGGAATTGGCAGGAGATAAAGGCATGATACCAACATGCATGTAAAAGAAAAATAGAGGAAGTAATAGTGGTGGTAGAGTAAAACACAGTCAATGAATTATGTATGGCCATAGCACAAATGCAACAAATGTACATGATGGCAGGATGACCTCAGCTAAAAAAGCGAGGAGAGGACAAGAAGCAGAGACGTTTATCTCTACTTGCAGCTAGATAAAGTCTCATTAAATAAGTGAGGATCATCGCCTTGAAATAATAAGAAAGGCAACATAAAGAACAGTAAGGTGAATAGGTGCGTGAAGGGAGAACTTACGAGAAAGAAGGCTCGAATAGGCATCCACGTAGTTGAGCCAAGTCTCAAACAAGCTATAACTAACTGAGCCATCTCATGTATTTATCACTCACCTATGAAGGAGACCCTTCTCACCTTCAACGCCTCTCTCCTCTCCTCCCTATGATGCAAGAAAATGCCTCTCCTATGAGCAATGCAAAATTCAGCTGGGATGAGTCCCACCACATTAACTAAAGAAATCACTTTTCCAAAAAATGAAGGTCTTTCGCAATAACAACCATATTTTGGATATAATGACTTTAAGGTAACAAAGGTAACTTGGCAAACAAAGAAAGAACAACAGAAAATTCAAGAGAGAGCTCCCCCTGACCTAAGAAAGAGACACTTACTTTCTTCAACATCATATGATAAAAAAAAAACCTCAGTGGAAGCAATTTAGAACTCAACTGGAGTAAGCCCCAATCTATTTACCATTAAGTAGCCTTTTCCAAAGACAACATTCGTTGAAAAGACTTACTACACTTCGAACATAATGAGCCCTTAGAAGCAACAAAGGTTACTTAGCAAGGCATTTTCTGATGAGTAAAATCCCATATTAAACTATAATTGAAAAGAATCACTAGGATATGGGGTGAAGAAGTACCTAGAGATAACCATTATTTATAGATTGGAGGAATTTCTCTCCACCTCGATGGCTACATTCAAGAATCAAATCGACCATTAATTGTTGCATGGACAAATCCTCATAGCAATAATTTTGTTACCCTTGATCAGTTAAGGTCTCCTGCATGAAGACCCAAAAGAGATATTGTCACCCTAGTTCCTAGAAGGCATCGAAGCATCCAATTGACACCTAACTTAAAATCCAAGTCCCATTCAAAACGCAATGGATGCTAAAATGTATGCTACTTAATAGTCCCCGACAACTCTAGTCATATATTTTCTTTTTCCACCATACAAATTTCACCCTCATTTTTGGAGGACTTCAAGATCTGGGTTACGAGATTCCCCATATGAGCAAATCTCTATGGTTAATTAAGTCTCCCACTAATGAGAGAACAATTTCAATTAAGGATAATCACAGTAACAACAGATTTAGGTTTAAGGTTATAAGATTGATCACCATAAGCTTAAAGCGTATGGTATAGAAAATGATGATGAACCCAATCAAAATATCCTGGTTACGATACCTCGAATTGTCAATATCCCTGGTCAACCTAATCAAAGGAGGTAATTGAAAAAACCTCACAAAAAAATCTTTGTCAGCAACCATGAGTTGTTACTTCCAAGTAAACCTTATAGACCTGGGGTGGACGTTTGTATAAAGGGATTAATTCAAATCAACAATAGATTATAAAGGATTTTATGTCCTATCAAATATATCTTATAATTCTCAGCTCAAAGAAAACAAAGCCATTGAGAAATATATGAACTATAATCTTAACTTAAATTTGATAATGTCATTCGACGACAAACCATACAGTGATAAAGCTTTGGTCGTAACTGCTACATACCTTAGAATTCTCAGCTCAAGAGAACTAAAGCCATTGAGAAGTATATGAACTATTATATTTACTGTAATCTAATAGTGTCATTTAGCAACAAACCATACAATCATATGGTTTTGATTGTAACTGCTACATTTTGTAGTCTTTGGGTCAAATCACTGAACAAAGGACTCAGACATCTTTTCCAACGAAGATTTACATTGAATATAAATATAATAATACACTAAATGTGACATTCACTCATTGTAAACTGAGGTTAATAATAAATGACACCACTGACAAATTATTGCTTTAGAGGGGACGAAGTTTGTCTTTAAGATTTAGGAGATTGTATTTTTACTTGAACATATTGGCTTGTTAATCTGAAAAATTAAATAAAAAATAAATCCATTTGGTTGAGATTTTCAATTAAGACAACCATTATAAGGATTGGATATTTGAAACACTCGCACTTATAATTTATTTGAAACTTATCACTTTTAATATATTTAAAAGTACAGTTTCGCCAACTCTAGACCTTGTGAAGAGAATGAATAGACTAATTAGGTGAGCCATGCTACCCTATGACATATCTTATAGATAGTGCGGCTCGCTCGAGACATGCATAATTTGATCATTTTGAGTTTGATTTTTGAGATAAAGAGCACATAATTTAAAAAAAAAATTAAATTATAGGTTTTTCAAAAAAGGAGCAATTTGACTAAGAATTTTAGTTTGATTAGAGTAATATTCTCAGATTGTATTATTCAATATTTGCCATAATACTTGGGCCCATGTAGGTGTTAAATTTAATATATTTGAATACAATAGAAAATATTGCACACTTTGAGGCGACTTTCATGATTTTTAGGCATAAATTTGAATTGAGAATTGCCTCAAGAAACACATGTAAGACTTGAGATTGTACAAAATTGATTTATTTATGTTAAAATTCTAAAGCATACAAAACTTAAAAGTATTTGAATTGTAGCATACACAAAAATTAATGTACCAACATAATCTTTGAAGCATTGCATTTGAAGCATCAACCTCAAAATGCTTTTTCGGAGAGTGTTTTGTACCCCTATCCACTCGAAGACAGATGTAGGACGAATTCACTAGATTGATGCAAGGAGAGAAGACAATCATGCAGTATAAAACAAAGTTCACAACACCGTTAAGGTATGTCCGACAACTGAAGGCTACTGCAGAAGAGAAGTATTACAAATTCCTTTCTAGATTGAGGGATTCAACAAAATAGTCATTGGTGCCATTGAGAACTGATGATTACTCAGTGTTAGTAGAGTGGCTAGACGAGTGGAAATTGATTATCAACTCACTCGGAAGTGTAAAGTTATGCATAAAATGAAGAGTATTTGCTAGGAATTATATTAGAAAATAATTTATTCCTATGAGAAGTTATGAGGAATAAATTATTTTATGAAATTAGGAGTTATTTCTTTTTCTATTTTATATTTATTTCCTTAGATTATGAGTTATTTAATTTCCTATTTTAGGCTTTTCTATTTTATATTATTTTCTTTATTTTTAAATAATTAATATGAATTGCTCATTGGAGATATTTGGTGATATATCTTTTATTTCATATTATTTCATTTTTATTATCTTTTCTATTCTAGTATTCATATAAAAGCCTATTTACACCCCCCTTCATATCAATGAAAAAAATGTTCGTTTAATTCCGCTTTATTCTAAATTTCAACATGGTATCAAAACTTAATTTCGTATCTTAGCCAGCGGTCCTCCTTCTAAAACCGTCAGCCTCCCTTCCTGCCAACCTTTGTGCAAAAAAAATTGGGCACTCGTCTTTACTTTTGAAACATCAATTTTTTCTTCTTCTCTCCCTGCAGGCTTGGTTGTCGGCTGGCCCTTCCCAAGCCAAAAGCTTTGACTCCTTCAGATAGCAAGCAACAACAATCCATTTTCATGTGTCCTTGTCAACATAATCAAAGCAAAATCATTTTGGGATCTTGCATCGAGAAGGCATCCAAAATAGAGCAACGCCTGCAAGTCCTCCATAGAGAAATATGCCGATGAAGAAGACTCGCTTGTCGCTTATACCATAGGGCTGTGATGACCTGGAGAGCAGGAGAAAGCAACACGGGCAATTTCATTTCGCACCGCGGCAGCAAGTGGTGACTTTAGTTTCTCGAACTCATCAATGAGGGCAAAGACACCAGGCTTGGAGTAGAGAACTTCTCGTTCCTTATTTAGGGTTTTTACTTATGCGAGGTTGGCTTCCATATGAAGGTTTCGGTTATATTTCTTGCGCAAAGCACAAAAATGCTTGTTCATAAGGCTCAGCATAGGTTTGTTTGCAGTTGCAGACTCAGAACTAGTGGGCGACGTTGAAATCGCCATTGTCACCTCAACATTGTTGCTTCATTCTCCTAATTAGTAGGTATCAGAGCCAAGCTTTGACGAAGAAGACAAACGATTGACATCGCCTTGTGAATGTTCGAGACCACAAAAATATTGAATCATCATCGATGCTCTCGGTCATCGTGATTTTATCAAGAATATAATCACCAAAACTTCTCAGGCGGATTGTGTTGTGCTGATCATTGACTCCACCAGTAGAGTTTTGAAGTGAGTATTTCCAAGGATGGCCAGACACATGAGAATGCCCTTCTTTCTTTCACCCTTGGTGTGAAGCAGATGATTTATTGTTGCAACAAGATGGATGCCACCATGCCAAAGTACTCTCAGGCAAGGTATGATGAAATTGTGGAGGTTTCGTCCTACTTCAAGAAGGTAGTTCCAACC